CCGGTCCGGATACTTATATACGGACCAATCCCGATCCGTATAATAAATTAATATATATGGTTTTGAAATTAATGTATACAGACCGATTTCAGTCCGTATACGTCATTTTTTAATAGTGTAGGGACCGATCCCAGTCCGTATAATAATATATGGACCAGGATCGGTCCATATATATCATTTAAAAAAAACAACAAAAAATAAAGAAAACAGATTTATTTTATTTAATAATTACGTAATTGTCACGCCCCAGAACCCAAATCCAGGGACGCGACAGACGCCGTGCACTCGTGAGACGGGTCCCATAAGTGCATAAGGCTCGGAACTTATTCAAATCACAATCTAATACCACAAAGTTTCAAGATAAAATTTTACAATCTGCTCTAATATCATGAAATCTCCAAACACACTTTAGCTTGCAAGAGCATGATTTATTTCTAAATCTATACCAATCTCAAAATGGCTAGCCTTCTAACTCGTCACTCCCCTCGGTTTCCCCATCCTCGGTATCCCTTCCTAAAATGGTGGACAAGGAAAACTATGAGATAACTCAGTAAGTAAATATGGATAGCCCTTGGGTAAAACTTTTAAGCTTGCCAGACAAACCATGTAAAACAGAATCAGATTCAGTTCAATATCAAAGCCTTCATGACAAACCGTTCATGCAGAATAAAACTCAGTTCAGTAGTCTCATCTATAAGTCATGGCCAGCGTTTATAAACCTCCCACTAGCGGGCACAGTAGTTGCCAATGTTTAACCCCATAGGCAAGGTTACAGAAGTGCCAGTGTTTAATAACTCCCACTGGCAAGCGTCAGTAATGGTGCCAGTGTTTACAACTCCCACTGGTAGGCGATAGTAATTACCAATGTTTAACCCCATTGGTAGGGTGAACCGGTTCTACAGAAATACATGTCAACATGTGCTAGCGTTTATAAACCTCCCACTAGCGGGCACAGTAATCAGTAATCAGTAATCATGACTATATCCGAGACAAAACCATGCAGAGTTTACAGAAAAACCCGGATTTCACAATCAATCCCAATTTCAAAAATAACCAGAAAAATTCCATGTGGGCATGGATTTATCAGAAAACTCAAAATTTACAAACTCTCAATTCATTAAAACAGTTCAGTCAATTCCAAATAGACATGCTGTACTCAATACCAATGAAAACAGTTTCATTTCAAACCAATCATGCTCGGTGCAATAACTTCAGAAAAACGATGAAATTCTCATTTTCATTTCAATCATGCTCAATTCCAGAAAACAGTGAAATTCTCATGAAAACCATCACAATTTCCATTTCAGTTTAATCACATTCAGATGCTGATAAAATCAATTTAAAATCAATTTAAACCTTGCCACCATCTCAAAAACAATTAAAACATACTTTCAAATCGAAGGGCTTTACCATAATTTACTTACCTTACTCGCACAGAACAGAAGGCTAACCCAAGTGCTACGGTGACAGAACGATCAAAACCTAATCACAATATTCCACAATTAATAATCATACCACAAATTCACAGTAAAATCATCATTAGCACTACCCCTAATCACAGTGCTATTTCTATCAATCTCCACATAATCAGACATCTCCAAATTCATTCTTATATCACAAACTAAACCTTTAAATCCCCGTTAATCGTTAACCCTCGGTGTGTGAACAGTGCATATGAACAGTAACCTATGAACAGTACCCCGTGAACAGTGATCCACAGTGAACAGTGACGGTAACTTCAAAAATTTGGGCAAAACACTAGCTAATTTCACGGGATTTTCTCTCCAAAAATCACAACCCAATTCAAGCTAATTTTCTACGTTAAGCAAGCTTAAAACCCATGTTTTAAAGCTGCCAAAACTCCTCCATTTCAACAGGAACTTTCAACGGACAAAATGGAGAAACCGAGCTTGGCAAAACAAAAAACAGCACTAAAGCCCGGCTATGCATACAGAACATCACAGCAATTAATCAAGCTAATTCCCACATAGTTTAAACAACAAAACACATTTAAAGGGCTGCTAAATGCTACCGGAATTTATCCCCTTTTCCGGTACAATTTGGACACACACAAGGCAACAATTACATGGATAAATTGGACTTGGAAGAGCCAGCAACTTACCAGAATTCCAGCAAGCAAACCGGAGCTGGTAAGGAGAAGAAGCCGGCGGCGTTTGCAGGGGAAACTCACGGCTACCTCAAAATTGGAAGGGAATAAAGCAATTAAGGTAAACCCAGCCTAAATCAAGCTGAAAGATGAAGTTTATGGCTGTGGCTTACCCGAAAAATGCCCAGAAACTCAAACCCACATAGCAGAACTCGCG